GTACACTATTACCAGCTGGTGATGGCAGATCAACAAACCTACCGGGAAGGAATTCCCACAAGTGGCCCATATGATGATGCAGCCTAACTGCCCTGGGGCAGTGGACAGGCAGTCAGAGACAGGCAACTAGGACATGAATGTTAACTCCATCAGCCACCTAAGACAGGCACAGGACTAACTGCTGTCCCACAAGCCCATGACGGGTAAGGCCTGGTTGGGTTCATGTAATAAGGTCCTTGACCTAAGACAGATGCTGTTCTCACAGGCCCTGCCATCCTCCTGATTAAATAATATAGAAAGGGAGGAGATGTAGGGAGCCATGTGACAGCCCCATTGCTGCCTCCCTGCCTCTCTCTCTCCTATGGGCACAATGCATCTGCCTACATTTACCATAATCCTCTCCTGTTTACATCACATACCCGGATGTGACGATGACCCTGTTGTATTCATGCCCATAGCCTCTTCCTGTCCCACCAGCCACCCTTGGCCTGTAAAAGATGTAATCACTTCCAGAATAAACGGGGCTTGATTGGACTCTCTCAACTTGGCTCAGTCTCTCTCTCTGTCTCCCCCATGTTTTTATTTTAATCCCTGTTCTCCCTCCAGGTACATCCCATGGATTGATCCGTGGGCTGGATCAATGGGGGTGAACTGCTGATGCAAATAAGTTTCAGAGATTCAAAGAATAAAACATTTTTGGAAAAGCACACATGAACAGTTCATGGTTAAAGATCAACCTGATTATCTGTTAACGGAGACTCCTAAGCTAGATGGAATTTGGGTGAGTCAAAGTCCTCAGCTGCAGGATTTCTCTTGCTTTGAGGAGCCATAACTTCATAGACTGTTAGCTGGATTTATCCCTGGCCTTGGCCTGTAGAGTAATTTCATTCCCATACCAGCCAATTACCTTGGTATAACTCACTTAGGCTTAAAACACTCCATTCAATCTGTTTTTATGTCAGTTTATGAATTAATATCAATCACTGCCTGCTCTGCACCATATCTAGTTGGTCCTCAGAAGTTTCATGTTTCACCTACATTCCCTGCAAATGATTCCAGAGTCTAGAAAAAAAATTTATTTAAACAATCTCACAGAGTATTGAATTCCACGGAAAGAAGTTTGTCTCCACTAAGTTGTGTGTAGGGATAGAAATACCCTAATTCTGGATTTATTGTGAGGGCTAAATGAATTATATAGCATGCTTAAACATTGAGTGGCACATGACAAATTTCATGTCTTTCATTATGATCATATCACAAATAATCAATGGCTAGCTAACTTTTATGTAAAATTGAAGTGATGAGGGGATATTGTTTTAGGACATTATTAAAAGTTATTATAAAATGACCTTTGGTTAATTTCCCCAACTATGAATTAAATTCTCTCAACTGACCTTTTTTGGTCTTTTTGTAGACAGGATCTCACTATGCAGTTCAAGATAGCTTAGAACTCAGATGTAGCCAGGCAGGCCTCAAAATCCTAGCACACTCTTTTTTAGTGTATTGAATAATGAGATTTTGTTAAGGTTTAAACATGACTATCTCAGTGTTTTACTAAGTGTGGATGATATTTTCTGATGTCCACAAATGTGATAGAAAAATACCCAGTTGCAGTAAAAAACCATTGACCATGGCTCTGCCTGTGTTATGGACAAGGGCACCCGGGTGAGTGTCCACTTGTGGTTGCCCTCCTGGCTTCTTCCTCTGAAACATTTTTGCCTTTCATGAATGTCTAGGTCTCTAGACTGGGGCTTAACATAACCCTTTTGGGTGCAAAACCTGCATGCTGTGGTTATCACAGATCTGGGCAGTATCCTAGTGGAGAGAACACTTGATACCATGATGCTGTGAATAACAGTGTCTTCAGATTATATTTGAATAGGACCTGAGCTTATTCACTGCTTCATTTCCCCCTATTGCTTCTTATTTCTCCATGCCACCTATTGCAGGGCCTATTTCAGTTACCCTACCACTGTGCCCATGTTGGCTCTGACTGCCCATGTTGGATACTTCAGGGGCGATCTCTGAATGACAATTTTTACTACACCGTGGTGAAATATTTTTTGGCTTTTGAATAGACCAGTTTCTTGTTTCTCTATATGACTTTTGGTTGTTTTATTTCCTTCTTTCTCTTTTCAATTAATTTTTTCCTTAATTGGAAACTGGACTTATGAATAATACGAGAAAAATAGAATTCAAGAAATCACCTTATCTTATCCCTCCCCGAATTGAGCTTTTGTTTCCTTGATTATTATTTGCACTTTGTATTGTATGTTTTGTGTACTACAAGCTGAGGTGTACAAACTGGTGATCAAACTGAGGTGTAAAGGTAAGGTCCTCTGAGGTTCTTACAGTGTTTTTTTCTTGAGTTGTTCATGCATAACCATATTCTCAATTTCACTCAATCTACAAATATTTTAAATATTAGAGATCTTAAATGGCTACCTGACAGGAGTGGTAAACCAATCAGAAAGAAATAGTAAAAATAGAAAAGAGGGATACTGTTCTTTTAAATCCCACAAAAGAGGCGTGGCTTTTAATAGTGCCAGGAGGCTTCTAGGTGTGTCTGTCAGGCTCTGGGACAATACTACCAAGCCTAGAACAAGCAGTCACAAGACAGTGTCCTAAGAATTGAACAGGATAGGTCTTCAGCCCACATGATTTTAGAAGACGTAGGCAGACTACTCCAGGAACACATACAGGTGGCCCTGTGCCATCAAGAAGGGATGAGCAGATGCTACAGTGCTAACAGCTACAAATGCCAGAAATTGACGTTAGTTTACCCATCAAGCTTTGTTTTGGAAGTTTCATATCTTTAATGTGCTCCAGAGTTCCATAGTGCTCACTGTAGACAGGTTCTGACAGTGTAATTCCTGTCTACAAGCTGAAAGAATAATCATGATTCCAACTTCATAATCTGCTCTGATCCTCATCCACTTTAGAGTTTTAACATCAGGACTTGTCTTGACTGTATGGTTCACTCACTGATAAGACAAAAGAAAAAAGAACAGATACAGTGAGCAGGAGACTTGTCATGAAATCCAAATCAGAGGGGACATGACATTAACCTGGATTAGTCATTGGATATTGAGAAGCAAAAGTAATCATATGCTATATTTTCAAAATAATTTGAAATTTATTAGTAGCATTAAAACATGCTCAAATCACTACTAGTACCTAACAAATTGGTTATGAGTAGATTGTGCATAAAACTTCAGAGTACAGTTTGATGCTTTAAATAAAAATGAAAGACACTAACTCAGAGGTCTTATATAAAAATGATTTTAATTAGTCATAAAGAAGGAAAACTCAGATGCTATTTTGGGGAAAATCAGGACATCTCTGGAGTTGCAAGTCACATAAGCCTTTTGGGAACTGACATTGATCATAGCATGCATGATTTATATGCAAAAATATTCTAAAGACACAATAGTTTAAGTTAATAGTTAACAGTTAAAAGGGAAATATATGGTGACCTCCTATATGCCAGTGTCAGTCATTGACCAGGTAAAGAACCAAGAGGCCAGGATGTGCCCTCCCATGAGCCAGAATCAGCCATGAGGGCCAGGAGGAGAATGAAGATGACAACCAGTAGCCTCTCATCAGCCAGTGGCAGTTGTGGGTTTGGAAAAAAGCCAAAAAGCCATGCTACACTTGCTGTGACCGAGAAGCAGCTATACAGACCAGGAGGAGAAGCAAGAAGCTGAGCCACACCTTCTCATGAGCCAGTGGCAGTTGTGGGCTGGTAGGAGAACCCAGAAGCCTAGCCATGCACTGCTGTGAGCCAGCTGGGGTATGGGCTGGAAGACAAGGAAATCTCCTGCAACCACCCCCATAAGCAACTGGCTGATTCAGAGGAATAAAGTCTGAGATGATAGCAAGTGAAGTAAAAAAAAAGTCTTACTGTTAGAACTCTTTGATTTACATTGCAGGCCTCAAGCTAGTAGTCTAAACATCTATTTAGAGAAAAACAATATGCAATATGGCAATATTAGGGATTTCCTTCTGTCTTGTTTTTGAAATCCAATATTGTTCTCACTGTTTAGTTTTGTTCCACTTTTCTCAAATCCATTTTATTCCAAGAGTAAAAAAAGAAAAAAGAAAAAAGAGGAGGAAGAAAAAAAAACTACAACAAAATTTCAAAGCACATCAGTAAGGCAATATGGTACATATATTGTGCATTGTCATTCCCAAATCATTCTCCCAGAGAAAAAGAGATCTGCATTCAATTTTCTGAAAAATACCAGTGTTTTGTTCCATTTATTGTTGTGTTTTATTCTCTTTAAAAGAATTTTTTAAAAGGGTAATACATCAATATCCTATGTCATCATTGTGAATTATTAAAAAATCATTAAGAGCATATACTGACCAGTTTTTAAAAAATAAATAAAGCAACTAGCAGCATGTTTCAGTGCTAGAACATTTGCTAATATCCATCAACAGGGCCATGCATTTAATCTCCCTACAATGAAATGCAGCTTTATGAAAATAAATTAACATAATAGAGATCAGCAAAAAAAAAGTAACCAAGGTTACAGTGACAAAATAGGTTGATTATTACTGCCCAAATCAGTTCATTGTTATATGAAAATTGTAAGGGTAATTTCAGATGCTAAAGTGAAATGATGTTTGATTAAATTCACTGGATCTTTCTTACATCAGAAATAAGATACAAGCATAAAAGTAGATAAATGAAAAATACATGTTTTGTATTTTATTAGGTTCATCACCTAGAATACGGGAATATATAAAACATTTAATATATGTTAGACCAGCTTACCTTGTAACTAGCACTATGTTTAACTGTGAAATATGTTTGTAGTAGAGAATTTTCCAGAATTATTCCTTGATAAATGATAAAGAAAATTGTATAAACACTTAAATATGCAATACACAGTACAGTTGTATAAATCTTTATTCTCATGTCATATGAATGTGTAAGTGTGAATAATTCTGTAGGATGATGGAGAAAATCTTCAATAGTGCACAAACTTAAACATTTACCCATTTGTCATATTAAAAGGAGCTTTTCCATTCCTTATACAGTCAAAGCAGAACCTGGATACTCTAGATTCACACCTCAAGAACAGAAGAGGGCTGACAGCTGGGAAACACCCAGCAACTATTGCAGATGAGTACACTAGGAATAGGTTGGGATTATACGTAAAAGACATAAAGGCTTGAAAGATGCAGGATAGTGTGTAAAAACAGACATAGAAGCTGACCAAGAAAAGGATGTGTTTCGTCGCTCTGGACTCTGGAGAAGATGCAAGGCTGACATTAGTCCTGTGGATGTCTCTCATCTGCTGCCTGTGCTTGTACAGGATGGAAACCATGGAGCTGCTGGTGCAGAGCATGAGCCCCAAACATAAAGCATCAGGGAATGACAACAAGGCTATATATAATAAATCTGCGGTTTTATCGTGACGAATACTGGAACAGTATCCATGACTTTTTAGACCTGTGTGATTTTTGTTGGTGGAATTTCCAGTAATGTACATAAGAAAAACAACATTTACAAGGCTGTACAGGACCCAGATGAGGCACAAAGTGGAGCCAGCATACTTGGAAGCCTTCATTTTAATCTCTGCCCACTTGTAGTTCTTAGGGCTGATGGTGATGGCCTGAAAGACACTCAGGAAACAGATGGTGCCAATGGACCCTCCCCTGCCCACTCTGTGTAGATAGATGAGTAGTTTGCACCCCATGTTACCAAGGGAAACTTGCCAACCAAATGCTTCTATGGTGTGGGGTACTCCTCTACACAGGAGAGTTAAGAGATTGGCAACAATCAAGTGCTTAAGAATCAGGTCTGTGCACTTTAACCTGCACCCCGTGAAGTAAAGAAAGAAATACTGGTAAAGAAGAGACAAATTGCCAAGAACCCCAATCACAGTCTGTGATAAGAAGATCACTCCTACAACCACTTCACTGGCTGCCATCATGCCCATTCCCTGTTGCCTGAACCGAGGACCCTGCAAGGAAATATGAGGCATTGGCTACATGTACCAGGTCACATGGACCAAGCATCCCCATCTGCCACTTGTTCCCATGAAAAACTATGTGCTGAATGTTTTCTTTGAGAAGACTCCAAGTCAGATCTACACAGTTAAGGAGATTTTCTAATGTATAAGTTCCTATTGGGAAGTGGACAGTCATGATAATTCCTTTTTCACCATCTGCGATGCAAGCATGAGTAAGATGAGGAACTACAAAGATAAGGAAATCTTAGGAGCAGAGTGGTTAAGTATTTGTCTAAATTTATGCCTTAGTTAAAGTTAGGCATGGCCTTGCTCCTGGCTGAGTGATGACATGGAGAACCTCCATGCTTTCTTAAAAGCTCTATGCCTGAGTTCTATAAGAAATCCACCAGTACATGTAATTTTTTAGGTATATCTCTGCTATATTCTTTCATAATATTTGATATTGTATTTGCATTTACTTTTGAACATGTATACTACTGGTCAGCATCATTTATGAGTGAACATTTTGATACTTAAAATATATAGACGCACTGAATTTTGTTATTGTGGCAGGAAGCAGATTCCTGATAAGCTGTGTGCAATAAGGGAAAAAAAAGATAATTCCAGGAGAGCTGATGAATCACTCAATTGCCCTCAGGTTCAGAAACAAGAGCAATAATTTCTTTTATAGACAATAACCATGTCGTACACTAAACTATGGTATGTAATTACAATATATTGTGGAAGACTGTAGGATAGTGACAAACTGGTTATTCATTTCATATGATTTACTCACTTGCTACTGGATCCCTGACATAACAGAAATTACTAACAATGCAACAAGATCTGTGAACCAGAATAAACAGATGCAAAATGGAAAGACAAGGCATAGAACTTTTTTATGTAAGTGTTAAAGGAGTGGATTTGGTTTTTTGGGGGGCTGTCATAGTGCAGTGTATACTTGTACGTGTTTTGTTGAAGGTATTTTTCTGCTCAAAGCTAAGTTTAAGGGACAATATACAGATTCCCTCTATATGTACATCTTCAATGAAATTGCGATTCCATGATGGCTCATTACAATTCATATGAAGGTTTATGAATATATGAAAATTAGATTATATAATACTGCCAGCAAATTATGGGAATATACAATAGTTATATTAGTTTTTCTTATATGTTACTACCCTAAATTTAAGAGAGAAAATATAACAAGACACTGAACATATTGAGTAATTTTTAGAAGAGATATGATTACTGTCTCCATGAATTACACGTACACAGTTGGTGAAAAACCTTTCCATTTGTCCAATTGATTGATTCACTTACTGTGCAGGGTATAATTTGTCTTGTGAATTCATCTTATTTTTTATGGATCTCAATAAATCATAGGCTCAGTGTTGTAATCTTGAAAAGTATATTTATTATTTCTTAGACTGAACAGCAATTTTTAAACTTTTGCTTTTTAAGTAATGATGCATATGTTTCCTTTTGTTACCTATTTTATATTGTTTAGGACATATTCCAGTGCCTAACTGGCAAAAATTATACACTTCAAATTTATACAATGTAATAACATTATATATGCACAGATTGTATACTAGTATCACAAATTCATTGCACATCCATCCCACACATATTTGGCATTTGTCTCTGTGTGTGCGTGTTGGTGTATGTATTGAAAAGATGTTTAAAACCAGCCCATTCATAAATTTTCAGGTAAATAATAGAGCCTTACAGACACAATCATTTTTTATATGTTAGATTGCCTTGTTATTTGTAATTGTAAATGAAAGTTTATATCAATTGGAACAACTTCAATAAGCATGTTAAATATCAGGCTGCAATGTCACATAGACTAGTCCACAAAATCACTGCCAGTGATGATCACATTAATTTAGACACTATCAGGTATTAGCAGAAGTTCTAGAAACCTCATCTCTTTTTACTCTCTGAGCTCATTACTCAGAAAAGTGTCTGCTCCCTGTATAGCTTTGGCATTCAGTCAGGCTTAATCCAGAATTCTTTATGCTAGGGTTCTTAGCCACACTCTGCATATAAGTTTTCCCTTATTAACTCTGTCTTGCTGATTGTAATGGAAATTACTCACCAGGATGCCTCATTTTCCTAGGTTGGAGATCACAGTGTGACACTCACCTCTCTTTATGCCCGAGATTAGTACTACAGGGAGGTGGCTAGTGCCTGATATATGGATCTGGGGTTCTGTGACTTCACCTCCCCTCAGACCTGTAATTACCACTTCATCTGTAGTGGCAATGAGTATGCTGGCTTGGGGAGTTGAGATCAGTTCTGACAGCTATTTTTCCCAGGTGATGGTTGTCAACAACTTTTATAAGTTTCTTGTCAGAATCTTTTAAGAAAACACTAAACTTTTGGAGAGGCTATGACTTCTCCTTAACAACTGCAGGGAGACAGGTCCCTTGTGAAGTAGGGCAGGAAATGCTGAGCCCTACATGAAAGAGACTGGTAGTGAACAAATATCCTCATATTCCCTGCTTCCCTTAATTGCTTTTTGCCCAAATCTGTTTACATCTTATTTTTAACCTTACTCCATGGTGCCAACATTTATGTTATTAGAAGAGCAATGGTGGGAGACAAAAATATCCGGGAAGGATTTTAAGAGACACTAGTGAAAGTAAGAACATAATTCTAAAAAGGTCAACAACAGTGGACAAAGTTACACAAGTACATCCACTAGTGTGAACTTTGTGATCCACTTGAATGGCAATTAATATTAAAATTCTGTCAGGAAATCTAAAAACTTCCAAATGAAGTAATATATTTTGTAAATGATTTCTAGGTGTTCACAAAGTATAGGTAGAAAATTCTGGACATTGGTTGAAAAATAAAGATCATTCTTGATAATAAATAGTATTAAATAAGAAATCTATGGTTCAGAAATGAAACAGTAATAGTGAGGAGTATTTGGAGGAACATTAATGGCAATGTGTCTTTACAACAATAAATATATTTTAATTTGGAAATTCATCACATTTTTCAATGACATCTCATATAAAGAAGAAATAGACAACATAGTAGGTAAAAAAATTCCTAGGAAAACTAAACTGAAGATATATTGTAGCAGAAGGAAGTTTGGATTGTTAGGTGCTCACACTTTGTGCATGCTAATGCACTGTTGTAAGAAGATGTCTAGATTGAGTGTATCTCTGAGACTGAGTGTATGTTCTCTAGGCTCCATTTACTGGAAAATAAAAACGAAATTGGCTTCAAATTAGAGAAACTCAACCAAGGAAACACTGTGACTAAGAGTAGGACTGGGTGATTTATGGATTGGTCAAGGTACACAGGATCTTCATGATGGCTTGAGGAGAATTCGTCTATTTCCAGTCAGTCTTCCATGGAAGTACTAAGACATATGAGATGAGATCAAGTATATTCAGAGTGGTGTAGCCATAGATGCCTATCTGAGAACAAATTTCTGTAACAAAATAATATGGCCAGGAAGGAGAGGATGATGGTGAAAGATCTCAGACGATAGGAGTTATTGGCAATAGTCTATCCTTATCAAAACAGCCAGATGCACTAGAAAGAGAAAACATTTGATGCTGTGGAGGCTCCAATTGTGACAGCACTGGTGGAAAGGAAGCTCCACTAATGTCCTTCGTGTGTAACTATACTACCAGTACCTGTAAACTGCTGATCAGCTTTGCATCTTCCAGACTAAAAACTACAGTAAGCTGATAATGATTCACAGCTCTCAACCATTGCCTCTAGAGATGGAACCAGAACCCCACATATCACAGGAGCAGTTAGAAAGAGATCTTTATTCCCCTGGTGGAGAATGTCAGGTGCCCAGTATGGGCTTCAGTGTCTTTGAAATCCTACACAAAACCAGTATAAAATATACATGGAGCTAGAGGAGACTGGAAAGAACAAAGTTTGAGCAAAAATAAATGAACCCTTAGATATCATTCTTTTCACTATAAAATACACTGCCATAATACTTAAAACACTAATGCTACCATAAGCAGAGATTTGCACAAGTAGAACAGAAGAAAAACCTTGTATAAACCAACATATTTGAGTCAACTACTGTTAATGGAACTAATGTTAATAGAACATATTTGAGACACATTTTGATGCTCCATATACCTTCTTTACCTGTTTTTTAAATTTCTTTCCCGGTACTTGGGAAGTTTTCTGCTATTTTTTTTTCCTTCAAAAGGGTTTTTTTTTTTTTTTTTTTTTTTTTTTTTTTTTTTTTTTTTTTTGGTCTTTTTTGTTTTTATCGGTACCAGGGATCGAACTCACGACTGCCTGATTCCAAGGCAGGCACTTATGCCGCTGAGCTAAATCCCCAGCCCCCCTTCAAAAGGGTTTTAATTTCATTTGTCATATCTTCTGATTTTTCACTAATTCCAGTTAATTATATTGTGTTATTTTATTTTAAAGAGATAAACATCCAAAATATAAAAACAAACAAAAGAAACAGACAACAATAATAAAAAAACTCCAAAAACAATAGCAAAATAGGATTTCAAAGCAGGATGACAAGAAATTAATGATGGTTGCTTTAGTGCATATTGTTATCTTCAAAAGAGAGATATTCAGATCTGTTTGAGCAGTTTCTTACCCTTTCATAATATTTATTGTAGATTTTGGATCTTATATACTCTTTCATATACTAGGAAGAAAATATGGTATTTACACATGTGAGTCTAATTCATTTCACTTATGAGAATGGTCTCAAGCTGCAACCATGCACCTACAAAAACCTTGAGCTAATCATTCTTTATAGCTGAGTAGTAATCCATTGTATAAAATAACCACTTATTTTTTTTTACCCATTCCTCAGTTGATGGGCATTTGTGTTGTTTCTAAGATTTTGCTATTACAAATTGGACTGCTATAAATATGTGTGTACATATATTTTTGTGGAATGATGTTTTTAATTATTCTGGGAAAATACTCAAAAAGAGAACAGCTAGATCAAATAGAAC